AGCAAGTGTGAATATAGAAAATACAGAAGAGAACATTCTCTCTGCTGATTTGCAGAGCATGATCAAATAGCTTTCCATTTTCCTCTCCTTCTTCTTCAGAAATCAAACAAACACACACACTCAGAATACAAAACTTAAACAACTCTCTCCGCTATTGCTACTGCTGAAGGGCCTTCTTAGCAAAACTTTGTTATTATGTTGGCAAATTTGGGGAACTAGAAACAATCTCATTTTCAGAGATTCATCCCCTCATCCTGGTCTGGTTCTTAATGTTACTGCTCAGACTAGGATGGATTATTGGAATCACAATTTCAAGAAATTGGTTCAAACCAAGCCCCTCAGCATATTATGTGGCGCCCGCCCCCTCTTGGTTGGTTAAAGTTAAACTTTGATGGTTTTGTTCGGAACAATATTGCAGCTGTGGGCTTTGATATTCGATGTTCTGAGAGTTATGTCTTACTTGATGGAGCCAAGAACATTGGTGATGTTTCTATTACAGTAGCTGAGTGTACCACTTAATGGATGGTCTTGTCTATGATATTCACAAGGGCTGGCGTAAAGTTTTAGCGAAGGGGGACTCCAAGCTTATTGTCGACTGTATCACTAAGAAGACTGAGCCCCCCTTGGAGTATTAAACTTCTAGTTAAAGACATCCTCCTACCATGTTCCTTTTGTAATTTTCCTTCTTTCACTCATGTCTACCGAGAAGCTAACTTCACTGCCGATGTCATTGCCAACTTAGGCCATGGGCCTCATCCTTCTACCTTATGGGAGCATGAGCTATCGTTAAGCTATTGTATCCCCTTTTATTTTGACTTGAGCCTACGTGCCCTCGTGATTTTTGCTTGTAATTTTTATTTTTCTCATAATAAAAAAATAATAATAATTTGATATCTTAGTTTGAAGAACATGGTAGGCAGGCGCGATTAACAATGTAATGATAAGGAGAAAAGGCAAGGGTGATTTTATTAGCACCCCAAAATTTGCTCTTTGCACCCCCCACTCTTTTTACACCCCACTGAGTTTTAGTAAAATTTAAAATTACTCATTACACCCCATTTTTCTTCCTAAATTGCCCTCATGAACTCCATTCTTTAACTTACCTATGTAAATCCCACCAAAACTGTTACCTTGTTTTAGTGGTAGTTCACCAAATTTGTTTCCGATTTTCAGTGGATGACCACCAAATGTGTTTCCGTTTTTTAGTAGTAGTTCACCGAATCTGTTTCAGTTTTTCCGTGGTAGTCCACTAAATTTGTTTCCTTTTTTCAGTGGTAGTCTACTGAATTCGTTTCTTGTTTCAGTGAATCCATTTTTTGTTTCAGTGATCATCTACCAAATTCATTACTGAGTTTGTAGTTAATATTGTTTTTTAGATATGAAGAGGACTTGCAGAGGTACTACTAAGGCTTCATCATTTCTACATGATCTTAGAAGTGCCTAGATCAACATATTCGAAAATGAAGTCAATCCAACGGTCTGAACATATCAAACCCGGATAACGCCTAATATATGATATCCAATCGACGATCAAACGATAACCAAATTGAAATCCGAGCATACTGTCGTGCTTGGGACAATGTGAGGACTATTTTAGGACTCAAAGACCAGCCAAAAAGTGGCCCATGCGCTGGCAATGCGTGACTGTCCAAAGCGATTCTAGCGATCGGAAAATCTCCAAACCGCCCGTCAAGACTTATACCTACATGATTAGCACGTAGAGTGGAGCAACTTTTGTTTTTGGACCTACCCTAAAAATTGGCCAGAAGTGGCCAGAATCGCAAGCCGAAAATTGGCCAAAATTCAATTGCTTATTTGAGTTACAAAACGCAGAAATTGTTCCTAAATGACCCAACCAACGGCTAGAACACATTGAGAGGATAGAAAATCATACCTAGATCGAAGAAATTGGTGGCCGAAATCGCCAGAACGAGCAATGGAAAATTTTGACAAAAATCTGGCAGGTTTTTCGTCAATTTTCACATCCAAAATCTGGAGAATTCTTAGGCTTTGAAGGGTAGATATCGTATGGTTTTGTAAAGGAGGAGGAGGAGAGCAACTTTCATGAGGGAAGTGCCGCCAACCGAAGTCAGACAAAGCCGAAAATTGGCCCGGAAGTGGCTGCTGCGTGAAAGAAAAAAAAAACTGGAGTTGCTGGTTCGAGGAGAGAGAGAGAGAGAGAGAGAGAGAGAGAGAGAGTTGCTAGTTTTTAAAAAAAATCTGACTTCGCAAAAATTACAATTGTGCCACTGTACTTCTTTTGATCATAACTTATTCGTTACAACTTCGATTTAAGCCCACTATGTGTTTACAGACTTATCTCAACGTGCTCTACGCGGTACAACTAAAATCCCCAAATTCCTTCCAGAACAAAAAGTCAACTTTGAAACCATTAAAATATGCCTAAGGTAAAATTATCTTTTACTTGAATAAATTAATAATTAAATATTAATTTAGGATCGAGTTATTATAGGACCAGCTCCCCCATGGTCCCCTAAACCACTTTGAGGATACTATAGAGGTTAAAGATGTAGCCGTTGAAGTAATGTTGATGCAGAGGATGAAGATGTAGTTGCTACTCATGATAGTAATGTTGAGGTAGATGCCAAGCTTACTGAGCCATCTCAAGTAAGTCCCATTGATCCATATTTATTTATGGGTTTTAAAACTCACATAGCAACTGCAATTTGAAATAACTAGGTAAGTTGTTTTACTGTAACAATAGAAGACATAATATAAGTCTGATTCATGGTAATTAACCGATTTTGTTGTTGTTGTTGTTGTTGTTGTTGTTGTTGTATTTGACTAGGAACGTGAGCCCCTTAGGTGCATGTCGAAGACATACACCCTTCGTGAGTGGAATTGGTGGGCTAATCCAAATAATAGTATATTCAAATAGTACATTCAGAGGTCTGGATTAGAGCAACTTATCAGGTGTTCTTATCGGAATGTAGATAAGATTGTTGTATCTACCTTCGTTAAGAGGTGGCATCCCGAAACGAGCACCTTTCACATGCCTTTTGGTGAGATGACCATCACATTGGATGATGTGTCATCTATTTTAGGGGCTTCACCTTATTTTTTTTCCTTCAATGGGAGTAAAGTCAAAGTTGTTTGCATTAAATTTGTGGTCGACAATAAGTTACTGAAAATATAAATATATTTCTGTTCATTGTCACTGAATTGTAGGTAAAAATTCGGTAATACACCACCAAACACTGTTCCATGTTACAGTGGATCTCCATCGCATCTTATGTTAACGGTCAGTCAAACACAACCGAAATAGGTGCAATGTTTCGGTGGCATCCCACTGAATTTACCTATCGCGTTTGGTACTGGTGTGCTAAACATAACCAGCGACCATCATGAAATCCTAAACTTGAAAAATGCCAAAAACTAAACTCACACCTCATTCGAAGCCTCTCTAACTTTAGTCTCACTTTTCATGAATAAATACAAGATATTTTTTCACCAATACAAGTGTATAAACCTCGTTAGGATTGTAGGAACATAATGGTTTGAGAAAAAGGTCTAACTAGGGTCACAGGAACATATGTGGGGTGTAGTGAGCAAATTTAATTTTTATTTTAAATATTTTTTGTCCTTAATGGTAATTATGTACAAGAATAAAATAGGTTATTCATGTTTAAAATTAGTGTGGGGTGCAAATAGCAAATAATAGGGTGCCAATAAAATTGCAAAGGTTTTTTTTGGCCCTCAGCGATAAACTTTGACTTAAAGAAGCACTCCTCGCTTGGGCCAAAGACAAGTTGCAAATCAGCCTCAGAAAACTTAGGCTAACCTAATGACAAAACCACTTAGCAATATTTCTTAAAGATGCGGGTACTTAAAGCACCTCCACCCCAAAAGGAAAGGGCAAAGCAAGGTTTGATACTATTCATGTGAATAGTGTCAGCCTTGCCTTTTTTGGTTCCACCCTAAAGGGCAAACACTATTCACTACTTTATTTTCTATTTTTTTTTATACTTAATTATTAATTTTGATAGCTTTTCAGATAATATTTTCGGTTGCCACGTGTCACTATTTATTATAAAATTCTCACCCAAAATTTTAGATAACATTTTCGGATAAAATTTTCAAATAAAATTTTCAGATAATATTTTCGGTTGCCACGTGTCCATATTTATTAAATTAAAATTTTCAAATGAAATTTTGTAGTAGAAAATTTGGTGTGGAAAGTGAAAAATATTGTAAGGAGATAAATTTGTATGAAAATTTGATGTGGAAAGTGAATAATATTGGTAGGTATTTATAGAAAACATTTCCAGAATTTTTTGATATTTTTTTTAGGCGCTGACATCAGCATGACGTCACACTGACGTCAGCAACCTGCGGGCAACAGCCAAGTCCATTTTTGCCTATGGGCTTGCCTGGGCTAGTGGGTCCCATGGCTTGCCTGGGCTGGCCTTTCTGCACTGGAGGTGGAATTGGGGCCTAGGGGGGCCTGTTGCCATGGCAAGCCTGTAGCTTTGCACTTGCTCTTAGAGCATCTTCAACCGATGTGTCAAAAGTGTCACATATACATTTAACGGCTAGAAATAACATCTCTCATCACTCTAACTGAATTGTCAAAGCTGATGTGGAATAAAGCTGGAGGTTGAAATGTTATTTTTGACATACCAAAAACAAGATGTCAAATGAATATTTTATTATTTTTTAAAGATAGCTGGCTATTACTTTCATTTATTATTTTCCTTTTTTTTTTCTTCTTTATCTTAAATGATTTGACTGTTACAATAATTATTTATTTGACATATCGAGTGAATTGTAAAACTGTGTAAATGTCAAATTGCCACATCAACCATCAAATTTAAATTTGATGTTTGGTATTTGACATCTCCCTTGGAGATGCTTTTAGATGTTAAAATTGAAAATTCGAGTATAACATTTGTTATGGTGAAAATGTTCAAGATACTAAACCAAAATTAACCTTAAAAAATTTATTGACTCTAACCAATTATATAACTTCTTCAAAGAATGTAAATCTACCACTATAAGTCTACTAAATGTGGATCCATAGCCTCTAAATTGTTTGGCTAGGGACTAAGCCAAAAGTAAAAAGTAAAAAAATCAGTAACTGACTGATCTCAATGGTGCTTCACGATAATTCATTTCACCGATCCTTCGAGTCATAACCAATATTCTTCAAGTACCATAACGCTGCTTCAGCCGCGTGCTCTGCTGCTGATTTCTTTTTCGAATGAGGAGCGCCAAAGCATTCCAAAACTGTCTTTTCGGTTTCTTCTATCTCAACAATAACCTTGTAGGTGAACCTGTTTAAAATAAGGGTTTGGTTAGTCACTAATAACAAAACACTAATTACAATAGGCATCCAATTTTTAAAGAAAAAAACAACTTAAATTGCTGTGCGCATTCTGATTATATAACATGTTTTTGGGCATGGTTGGAAGTGATTCTGGTTCTTCCCCATGTAGTAATTTTAAGCGATTCGAAGAAGAAACACCTCCCATGTGCTTCTTCATAAAATCACTTAAAACCACTTAAAGTGATTATATGGAGAAGTGATTATTTCAGAATCACTCTCAAATGATCTTGAACTTGGCTTTCTAGAATATGATCTTGAACTTACATTCTCATGTGGGGTGGTCCTTCCTCTTTGCAGCACTCATACAAAGGGAGCTTCCATTTTTTTGCAACACATATCTCATGTAACTGAGATCTTGCTGGTAGCTTATTACAAGAACCTGCTAAATCGATCAAATGGAGTAAGTCCTGGAACTTTGTTCTTATGCAATATATCAAGGAGATTCTTCTGGAAGTAACTTTGAGCAGCACAAAACAATTGCAACTTACTAGAGATGGTCGATAGATTTTATAACCATTAATTGGTAAAAGCACCATTTTCCATTTTTTTGGAATATTTAATTGGCAACTTTCTAGGACAATAACTATTACAAGACTTTAGGTAAATAAACTAACTCCAACCCTTTTCGATAGGGTCATGCTAGGGAGACGATCTCTTTAATAGAGGTGAAGCTCACTAATAAAATGGGTCTCACCCTCTATTAGAAAGATAGTACACAAATTAGTCTCTAAAGATGTAAAAAGTGATCACACGTAACATACAGTAATTGGTCGGAGATAGCAAAATAGTGCTATCCTTGTTTCATACAAGTTTACATTTTTATGTTCTATCATTTTTCAGTGGACAGCACTATTTTACAAATAATTACATAAATATTTTTTTTATGGACTTTTCATAAATAGACCTATTCTAACATGACATTTTATATAAAAATCCTTATCATTTTCTAATTAGTTGTTAGTGTATTAAAAAATTTCACTTGAAAGTACAGCATAGAGTTTTTTTGAAGTATTGGTTTTGAAGGGTATTTTTTATAAAATCCCATATTAAAACGGACTTATTTATAATAATTAAAAAGCTATATTTTCTTTTGTCCATAGCTATTGGTGATGTGATGTGATGTGATAGTGGAAACAGAGAAATACCAAAAGTAATTATAAACAAAGCACTGCAATTTTGTAAACATTGGTAAAATATCTGTACCTTCATTTGTTGAAGCAGTCTTTTCATTAGCCCCAATCTCTCTGTCAGAAGAAAATTCCCTGCACCCTGTAGAACTAGAAGAAGCATCTTCAACCTTCAAATTTTCAAGTTGTTGAGATATATCAGCAGGATCTGAACTCGTAGCTTTCTCATCACATCCAACCGCCTTCACTCCCTCTTTGGGGCTTGGATTTTCACCTTTGAATACAGGCATTGGACTGGTCTCTAGCAACCTGAAAGCCAACAAATAAAAGAAAACCCAATAATTATTAAATAAATAAAAAGGAATTGATAAAACCTGTAAAAAGTGGGAATTTTGGATTAGAGGATTTGGATGGGTTGATGGGTCTTACAAGATTTATGGATCTAAAGGGTTGTGTGGTGTGTGAGATTGATGATGAAAATATGAAAGCTCGAGGCTTTTCTGGGTCTCTCTCACTCTCACTCGCTCAGATTGGTTCTCTCCATATAAAGATACAAAGACAAGACAAGTGGCACTCACTCATGGAGTTGGTGGGGGTGATAAGAACATTCTTATCAAAATTGCTAAGCTGGATTTTTTAGCATCAGCTTCCCAAAAACAAAAGCTTAAACTGCCTGTATTTTTCTTCCACAAAAGCTACCCACAATTTTATCTTAACAGTGTAGCGGACCCATACATTGAAACAAGAAAAAGATTGTGGATGGTTTTGGGAATCTGGATATTGTCATGTGCTTCATGTCCTTTCTTATTACAAAAAAAATAGTTTAAATTTTAATTTTAAAATGCTAAACTATATGACACATTATTTGTTTCTTCAAGATTCCAAAGTTTAGGTAGTATGTATTGTTCTGGTTGCACAGGTTTTCAACCTATATAGAACTTATCATAGCCTACATCATATGTGTTTCCACTTTTGTTGACTTAGTTTTTATTTTTCTTTCCATCTAGATTTCATTTCATTTTTCGAGATGAAATTTTCTGGTATATTCATTCTCTTTCACTAAATTTGCTTGACTATTCACTGAATGGATTTAAAATTTCTATGTGGTGGTATATGAGTCCACCAATCTTCCCTTTATGCTGATGCATATTAATTTTACAATTAAGGCTCCGTTTGATATTGCTTTTTTGGATTTATAGTTACTTATTTTGATAATTTTTCCTTTCAATATTTACCGTGTGTTGATGCGAAACAGTGTTTCGGCACTTTTCGGCTCAACTTAGTGATGTCTGGCTTTTGGAATGCTCTGGGCCTCGATGGAAGCGCCTGATCTGCAAGATGAGAAACGCTTGGTAAGACCCAGGGCACTGGTGTGGTACCAGCCAAAGGCTCTGCGATACTTAAGTAAGTACGGATTTAGTAAATAATCTGGACAGAGCTATGGCTAGTATGCCGAAAGTTCTCCATTTTGGGACTAGTGCCCCCTTTTATAAGCCTTGTGAGGTGTGCATGTTGTGTAGAATTTTGATATGGGACTGTTGGTATTAACTGTGGATACTTCACATGTCCAGAGGGTGATCTTGCCCTAATAACGCGATCGGTAGGCTAGGGTGCCCTGCGTTTCCCTACCGATGCGCTCTTTCGTCCACGTGTCTTGCTCTTATTGGTTGTTGATTTTGGTATAAACAGGAGTACCCCCAAGTTCCTTATTGAGAAGGCTTCTTAGTAGGGACTTGCTTTTGTCTTCGGTACCAATGAGTCATCGGGAAAGTGTTGAATATTCAGTTTTCCAATGTGGTGTTGTTCGGCGCATCTGTGGAACCGTGGAGCCGGGGCATCTTTTGGAGGTATGATCTCTTCGTACGACGCACTCTCCAGGTATCCCAAGGGTCACCAAATCTCGTTGCACCGTTCGGTAAACGTGCCCTTCCGAACGGTAGAGCCTAGCTCGTCATTTATGTCGATTGCGGAAGTCTTGTAGTTGCTTAAGCTTCCGGATGTACCTTCATCGGAGAGGCGGAACTGTTTTGGACAAAATGACGCTTAGTTTTATGTGCCTGATGTGCAGTCGGTTCTCGCATGTGATTGGTGCCACGTGTCAGAGTGCGCACGCGAGGCAAAGCCATTATGGCGCCAATTGGTTTTTCAAGGTGCACTGTTCGATTCCTTCTCCTATAAATAAGAGTGACTCCGGATGAAGGAGTCACTTGTGCTGTGAGAGCGACTTGAGAGCATTCTCTAAAGGCCATTTCTGACGAGACTCATTCGGCAACTAAGGCGATTTCCGGTCGATTTCCTTGTGGCGGAGCGATTTTTGGCGACTTCCACCACCATAAAAACAAGAAACTTCCGGTTGTTTAGATATTATGGCTTGATCTATACTATGAACATACATGAACATGAAGAACGTTCGATAGTCTAGCTCTCGTATGTAGTGACGGCCATAGAAACCCTTACTTTCATCTTTGCGCATGGTATTTAGTTTCCTTTTCCTTGTTTGTAGATGTTCGATAACGAGTATGCATATGATACCGAACAAAATGCGTTCGATGGCGAGTCATCGAACGATCAACGGGACTCTGGTAGCATGACACTTAGCTTTGATAGTGCCAATAGTGAAGCTGCCGAAGTTGAAGTCATCGGCAAAAGGGTCAAAGTTGTGCCCTCTTTCGAGAGGGGCAAAGTTTTGTCAACCGATAAAGTGGTGCCGTTGGCCACAGTTCCGTGCGGCGTCTAGTGTGCCAACACGAGCCAGTATTGCGAGTTCTTGATGAGGGATACATGGGCACCGGAACGACATGTCAGCTACCAATCGGAGACCTCTACCTCCGACCGTGAGGATGCTGTTGCCGAAGCTTCCTCTCGTTCGGTTGTCACTGTGGTTTCTCAGGAAAATCTTAGGATTCTATTAGGCCAACCCAAGAAACTTCTGTTTGGTGTAGATTACTTAGGCCCAAACCTAATTACCGAAGCCGAACTTGCCAAGTACCGTGCTGAGTACCTTGTCCCTGATTCGGTAAGGCGGAGGATCCCGGGGCCCACAGAGTCGTTGAGTAACCCCAAGGATGGAGAGGTGGCATTCTTCGCAGACATCCCTAAAACTCGTGGTTCAGCTCCCGTTACAGCCTCCGGTGCAGAGGATACTAGAGCACTTAAGATATGCTCCAGGCTAGTACAACCCCAAATTTTTAGTGGCTTTGATGGGGGTCATCGTCTCTTTCAACCTTGCCGAGGAGGGTGAGCCAACCTACGAGCAATTTTCTCACCTATACAGTGTCACCAAGTCCAAGTATGCTGGGCATGGAGGTTGGCTCTAGGCTAACTGCCTCCGGGCTTCCGAACGTGGTCACTTTGTAAAGGGTGTGCCGACCTCTCAGAAATCATGGAGGAATTGGCAGGTGTTGTTGTCAGGAGATTGGGAATCTCCTTTAAACAAGCCCGTTCGTTTTCGCAT